TCCTTGGTCTTGCGCGACTCCTTTGAGGAGCGCGCTGAAGAGCGGCTGAGCTCGCTTTCAGTGCCTAAAAATTAATAAAATGAAAATTAGAAATTGGATCTCCACTAAACGCCTGTTGTTGGAGAAAAATAAATATATATTATACCTGGCCGACTGAAGATATGCAGCGAACCGCCTTGGTCCTCGCTCGGAAATTCTGGCAATTTGCCCGTTTTCTCGTAACAATCCTTGATCCAGGCGCGTAACTCATCGGTTATGTCCTCGGTTATTGTAGAACCCTGCTTGGACTTTATGTCCGCGCGCACAGCTACTACGGATGATTCCAGTTTCTGTTTGTAGGCCGCTTGTGTTGCATAGCGACGCTCGTAAATCTACGTGAAAGCAAATAAACAAATATAGGGTAACTTGAGCTTTGATAAGTTCACTACCGCTAACAACTACCTTATTTAGCTTGTCCTCCTTTTCGGCACGTCTCTTTAGCATCGCCGCGGTGGGCGGCACCATGCCGATCAAAATCATTTCTTCTTGCTTTCGTCTTCGCGTGATGCGGCGCGCGGTATGGCCGCGCCACACCTTCTGTATCTTCATGGCGGCCAAGAGACCCATATCGCTGCGCTCCTTGCCTTTCTCCTCTGCCTTGCCCTTATCCTTCAGCATGCGTATCTCTTTCATGAAATGCGCTCGTAACCTTCCCTGGCGCGCGCGCTCATGCATCTGCAAGAGACGTATAGCCTCGATTTCGCTTAGCTTCTCTTCACTCGGATGCTCTTCTAACCAACCCAGCTTGATGAGTATTTCGTGCATGGTACGATTGCGTTGCTCGATTTGTTGTTGTCGTTCGCGTAGAAAGTAGCGCGGTATATGCAGCTCAGTATCCATGGGCGTTAGTTGCAGCCGTATAACAACCGCGTCGTTGTAATTGAACTCCATTAAATCGATATTGACCAGATCATGTTTAAGCTCAATAACGCGCCCCAGGCACGCGTCGAGTAGCTTGCGCACCAAGAGTCGCTTCTGTGGCTGTATCATTTTGTCGTAAACTTCCTCCAGACGATTGGCGATGCCGATATAGCGTAAATAGAACTCATAGACAGTAGACTGAATAAGCTTTTTTGGGTCGGTCACTGCTTCTATATCCGGCAGGGCCGAAGCCAGAGCGGCGAGCGCAGTCTCGAAATTCTGTCCCTGCTGTTCATCGGCGACTGCTAAAAGATCAACTTCGTGCTGCGCCTGGTGCCAAAGCTCATTGTAGTAGTGATTGGACATTATTTATTAGCGGCAAGGATAAGCGAGAGCAAAGTGATACAACCGTCGAACACGACTAAATGGTAACTGCAGTTTTGTGGAAATAGTTGCAGCGTTTGAAAATGGGATTTGATTTGGTAACCATAATAGTTAAACCCATGACAACGAAGAAGCTAAGAGGAACTGGCGCCATGACGCGTTCTCAACTGATTTCGAAATGGGGTAGAAAATGCTTTCGGGTTCACCCTTTTGCAAAGGTGTGTACAAAACCCTTAGTATAACGGATTGTTTGCGCAGCGCAATAAGCGTCAAAACCACCAGCTTCGGGTAGTTTGTTTAACAGTTTACAAGTCCTTACTTGCATCAAACCACGCTTATATATAACAAACAAATTTATTTGGATTTGCCAAACTCTCTGATTGTACTTTTTTTGTTCATCCTAGTCTTAAGGAAGCGCCTAGTCTAGTTTTGAAGTTTTTTTTTATATCTGCTAAAGTTCTATCTTATCTGGTGCCACAGTTTAGCATGTTTCGATACCGATCAGTCTTAGTCCGTTATAGAAGGTATTGCAATGGTGGCTGAATTTTTAAGTTTGCTCAATGGAGGGAATGACAAATGTATTTGGGGAGGGACTCCAACTCCTGCCTACAACTTGATATAAAGCAAGCCGGTAGCTCCAAGACGGACGTCTACTTGCAGCCTTACTTACTTGTGTGCAGACGATGCACGTTCTGCTTAGCTCTATCTTGCCACATTTTCCGGGCGGGCTTTTGATTTTTACCGAAAGGATACTATGTCTGAACCGGAATTTTCGAATTGCTTTAAAAATATTTCTTTTTTGGCCAATCACTGTCCAAAAGTTTTTTTTTTTTAGAAATCGTCTTATATTCGGACCGTAGCCGAGAGGGTCTCCTAAATAAGAATATACATATGTCTACTAAACTCAATAAGCAAGTACCCACTCGTCAAAGAATATCACCCCTATTGCGAGTGTCGACTAGCAGTAGATAAACGACTATTATTCGATTATCGCTTTTCCATGGTATTGTGAATGTCGATCTCTCGTTCAATAAGCGACTTTGAATAGTTTTTAGTCGCTCATTCTTCTTCAACTGTTTATTTTGTAGAAGAAATAGCGCCTATAATTTATTCACTTTGACTTATTGAACGAGACAACGAAGTTCACAATACCATGGAAAAGCGATAATCGAATAATAGTCGTTTATCTACTACCAATCGACACTCGCAATAGGGGTGTATGGCTACCATTTTCTTGGATAGCGTCGAAATTTAAAAGTTGATTACTTGCCTAAAGGGACTACAGTTAATGAAATGTAATACGGTAATTTACTGGGTTATGTACGAGAGGTAGTCGTACAGAATAGGCGTGAAAATTGGGCGCACAGAGTAGAGTTGTAAGGATGCCCCCCAAAAGTTACGGGATTCACAGAAATTGACCAGCATCGCTAGAGTCTTCGCCTGGCTCTAAGGGACATTTTCTATATCTTAATTAAAAATAAAATTAAGTTACGTGAACGAAGATTTTCGGACGAGAGTGAGTGAAGAAATATCTAAGTAAATAATATTTTTACATTGGCAAAAGGCAGGATATTAAAATGGTATTTCAACTGAGGACAATAAAGGTGAAATCATGGGATTTCGAAAAAATTTTGAATGTCGACGACCCGAAGGCTCGAAGCCCAATAAGTTGGAAATTGAGAAAGCTTGTAATAGAGTCCACCTCTTTGCGATAATTCGTACAAAATGAATGTACTTAATAAGGTCTGTCGGATAACTTTTTTCGACAGAACAGGACCCGTTAAAATGTAAACTTAGCTGCTAAACATAGTATATAATTTAACAAGTAAAGAAGTATAAGTTCGGGCGAAACCGAACTTAATATATCCGGCACACCTAATAAATGTAGAGTTTTTTCACCTTTCTGTAAACTGCATGAAAAGCTGGGGTTTTCCTCGGATTTCAAAAATATAACTTCGAAACCGTAAGTCATATGACTTACGCAAAAGTTCTTCTTATTTCTGGTTAAGATATTGTTGTAAATATCAACTTGGAGTAAATTAACGTCCATATTTATTATTGAATTATAGTTTACGTATTTCTGAAAGTTACCGTTATTTAGGAAGTGGACGTAATTTTATTCCGATTTCAAAATGTTTTCAACATATTGCTTTTCAGTTAAAAATTTTCAATTTCAATTTTCAAATGGAGATAAGTTATTTTAGTTATCGTGAAAAGTTTTTTGAGATAGAGCGTTTTCGAACTGGCTGCCGAGATAGGTCGATCTTCCACTCAGCCATCGATATTTATCCGGGTACCTGGGTAGCGGATTATCTTTGTCCAAGTCAGCCGAATGGTGGGTAATCTGCGTTCGGTTTCCGAGTACCGGGGAAGGGGGTTACCTTAATTTGCGTACCCGGTTAGAGCATGATAAAAACATAGCAAGGTAGAACCGTTCTCTCAATTTGTCGGC